CTTTAAGTGACTTACAGGTTTCTTTGAAAAATACTTTCTTATATCCAGGTTCTTCCTTTTTGCTGCTGTCCTCCTCTCCTCCTCGCAGCGCAGGTTTGCCGCTGCTAAAACTAAACAGAGCTCACTGAAAGGCACAGCCAATCACATTGGCCATATTTGTCACATGACATAGGACTCCAGTAGAGAATTTAACTCTTTCTGCACCGCTGGGTGAATGAGACGCTGACAGATCGTTGTTTTTTTTTTTTCTTTCTATCGGGATTGTTTTTCTTTACTCGAAGAGATCAAATTATTGGTGGGGACATGTCCCTTCCGTCCATGCCAAATCGACGCCCTTGTGTTGAGGTTATGTCGGCCAATTTCCACTGGAAATGCCTTTTGGTTAAACTGTCAGCAAGGGATTTGCGCTGTTACATTTTATATAACTTTAATGCACATAAAAATCAGCTGCTTGTTTAAGTGAAAATACATTGATGGGTTTTTTGCACTAATAAAGTTGTGGGGTTGTAAAGTATTTTGTCTAGTGTCAATTATATTGTCAGTTATATCGTTATCACAAATTTTCAAATGTATATCCTGATAAATATTTTTGGTCATATCGCCCTGCTCTAGTTATTTGGTCATTAAATTGCTTTTCTGGCTGCTAACACAACACTCCATGTGTGACTTTTGCTTTTGGCCATTCACCAACTCTCCTCCCCCCCACTGTTTCTGACCTGTAATGACAATGATGATAAAAAAAATATTAGGTTTCATCATTTATATGCTAAAAAATGTGAACTTTATTGCTATTTCCCCCCAAAAGTGTAGTAGTAATACATAATCTGACTGGTAAAATATAATTTGAATTATATTTTGGTTTTCATGACTAGGATCGGTGCTAATTTAAAAAATCAAGTCAATGAAAGTAGAAAAATGTTTTAATATGTATTAATTTTATAGCATTTTGTAAACGTAAACAAGGGGTGGCCATTTTTGGCCATGCACGAACAAGCTGAGAGGGAGTTTTTATGTTTGTGCTCTCCCTGCACAAAAATAACAATGCATTTTAATCAATGTTGATGTGAATCAATTACATGCCCCAGACTCTTCTATTAACCCTCTACAGCATAGCGTTGCCCTGAGGAAACAAACCACATTTTCATGCCTTACACTGGCCCTTCAAAAAAAAAACTTTTTTTTTTTTCAAATAATGCTACCAGACACATCTCTTTCCAATAAAATGATGAGTTGAAGGTGGTGTGACTTTCATTTTGGTGGAGGAGGACCCCTTTCTGCAAGCTGCACTACATGAGGGACATCTCCATTAGGAGGCAAGATAAAGATCAATATTTTACATGTTTATAGTGAAATAAATGTATATTAAAAATACTTGTATGTGCATGAATATGTTAAGAAGCATATTTGATTGTATGTTCTACTTTTGTAAATTTATTTATACAGTAAAACTGTTCATTTTCATTCGTTGCCTCAAGGCAACACTGCGCAGGTAGCCCAATTCTTTTCAGGCAATATAATGCATTTGCATATGTTTGTAGAGATGTGTTTATGTGCATTTATATGATCATAGTCAATGTTTTCTACTTTACAATCTACTCATAATTACAGGACATGGATGTAAATGCCTTTTATGGAAGGAAACCAAGGGAATGTGCACTTTCTGTCCTCAGAAAGTGAGGACAGTGAGCTTTCAAGGAGTGACATTGAAGTAGAGGAGTGGATCCCTGAATGAGGTTTGGGGGATACTTAGGAGCTCAGGGGTCAGTTGGTAAAGTAACTGTGTCTGTGTGTGTGTGCTAGTGCCCACATAGCAAGCAGGTCTGGCCAGGATCTGGTATCAAGTCGGCACTGCTGGCCGACTTCTGGCATGATAAGACGTATGTCATCAGGCCTGGCCTAGATGGCACTGTCTATGTGATGGCATGCCATATCTGGCTTGATTGTGGCTTGGTTTATGTGGCCCAGGCCTACAGAAAACAGGCTGGCACTTCTGACTGACTGGTGTTTTGGCAGAGTGTATGCCAACCAGATGTGTGCCAGGTCTGGCAATGACGCCACTGTTTATGCGATGGCATGCCATATTTCAGGTGGTAGAGCAGGTTACAAACTGATAGGAAGGTTAGCGGTTTGATCCCTGGCTCCTCCAGTCTGCATGTCAAGAGTGTGAATGTGTATGAATGTAGTTAGAAAGCATTCAGTTAAGCAAAAGTGGCATGTTGTATAGAGCAGTTTGAGTAATCTGGGAGAGTAGAAAAGCGCTATATAAAAATCAGTCCATTCACTGTCTGAACAGAGTTTCGGCATGTTACTTTTGCACTGTTTTGCA